CAACATTACTATTCGATGATAAATTCGAAAAATACGTGTGTAGATAAATTTGCATGAGCAGCGTTTGAAATATCGCCGTACTATCTGCTGACTGAGGAATGTAAAGAAAATGACAAAAATTTAATCATGACACTTTCAGCCGCGATACTTGCAATTCCTTGCACAATTTACTTTCTTCTCAAACGAGTTTATCACTGGGAATTTCATTTTTAAAATTGATATTAACTCGCAGACGTGTGCAGAGATACCGTTAAGTCCACGCGCGTGTAAACATACGTACTATAGAACCAGTACCTATTATGACTAAATATGAAGATAGATAGAGCGATAGACAAACGATTTGACGCGAAATCTATTTATAGATAAGTATTTGCTATACATGTGTGTAACATTTCAATCGCTTCCACAGTCTGTTCAGTGATCGTACGTATGACGGTAATGCAATGCAATAAGTATCGAGATTCCGATGGAAATGATCGAAGGGTAATCAAAGATTTTAATGATCCGTGTTATTGCAACACTCGCTGATACGAAATACACGTTACTCTTAGATAAAATTAATCTTGGAATCAAAGGAATGAATGAAGAACCTTTCATTTCATTTCAATATCTCGGAAGTATATCAGACAAGATGTATATTATTACATATATTATATACATTATATATATGCATATTATATTATGTAATATTACGTATATTGCATATATTTAATAAGTATAACACAAAATTTTATTTTAATTTATTAATTTTATAATTCGAAACAAAGTTTAATAAACCCTAAATAATTATCTAATCATTCTCAAATTAATTCTAAATCATTATCAATTTTGAAGAACTTCACCAATTAGGAGAACACGACTAGCAATCTAATTTTAACACAGTGTTTTTATCATTTAGTATTGTAATGTAATAATTGTAATGTAATAATCACAATTATTAGTGATCACACAATACGATATTAGTAATTATTATTGCAATGTAGTTACATATAAATATTAATATAACGATATGAGAGCTGGTGTTCCGGTATAAGAAATTAGAAAAAGAATGAAAAGTTCGAATTATCGATATTATTTGAGTACAATATATACATGTATATATTATTACATATATTTAAGACGTATAACTCAAAATTTCAGGTAATTTCATTCTAGTGCTACCGTGGAAGCCCAAAGCTTGATAAACCCTAAATTATTATCTAATCATCCCCAAATTAATCCTAAATCATTATCAATTTTGAAGAACTTCACCAATTAGGAGAACACCACTTGCAATCTAATTTGAACACAGTGTTTTTATCATTTATTATTGTAATGTAATAATTGTAATGTAATTATTACAATTATTAGTAATCACACAATACGATATTAGTAATTATTATTGTAATGTAATTACATATAATTACATATAAATATTAATATAACGGTATGAAAGCTGGTATCCCGATATAAGAAATCACAAAGAGAATAAAAAATTCGCATGATCGACATTACCTGGGTATCATATATATATTATGTAATATTATCTATATTATTAATACATATAACTCAAAATTTCGGGTAATTTCATGCTAAAAGCCCAAAGCTTGATATACCCTAAATAATTATCAAATCATCCTCAAATCAACTCTAAATTATCAATCATCAAATCATCCATCTAATTTTAACGCAGTATTTTTATCATTTATTATTGTAATGTAATAATCACAATTATTAGTAATCATACAATACGATATTAGTAATGATTATTGCAACGTAGTTACATATAAATATTAATGTACCGATATGAAAGCTGTTGTCCCGATATAAGAAATCAGAAAGAGAATGAAAAGTTTGAATGATCGATATTGCCTGGGTATTATGTATATATATACAACGTCAGAAATCCATTAGTAAAAATTTCACATCTCGAGTGTGGATTATTCACAAGGCAAGCAGCGCTATCAGAGAAATGAATGGCCATTTATGTGGAACGATGACCGTCAGATCTCGTCTTCCTACGAGAATGTGGCTGTTCATGGCTGATTACGTGAAAATTATTACAGGAACACGCTAACGCGTGAGTAACGTTTATTAGAAGCATAGAAACTATTGCGTAAGAGAAAGTAAAGAGTTTTGCG